CTCCTAGATGAGCAAATAACCTCCCCACTGTGTGCCTTAGGTGTTCTTCAGATCACTGTTTCCATGCTGTATGTCTGAGGGTTGTTTGCCTTGCATTTTCTCCAAGAGCAGCCCCAATGTCCTCCAGGCTCTCCCAGAGCCAAGCACACTGACCTTTAAAACTCCAGGCTCTAAGCCCTGCTGGTTGTAAGAACTCATGAAATTCTGACCCTCTTGCTTTCCATGCCAATTGCCATGGGGATTCATTTTCCCTGGGTGCTCCCCTGTGTGCTAGTCTGTCTGTTGCCCCTCTCCATAACCACAGCTCCTTCCCCACTGCAGTGGCCATGATCTGTTTCTCTCCCAAGCCACATCTCTGCACTTCTACCTTCTTTGATGTGGCTTCTTCTCTCTCATTAGTTGTGGAGTTTGTTCTGCCAGTCTTCAGATCAATTTCTGGGGTATTTAGGATGAATTATCTAATTATATTCATGGGATGAGGTGAACCTAGGGCCCTCCTACTCCACTGCCATCTTCCCCACTCCCACCCCCCCTTGAGTTTTCAGTTTTAGATATGATGTGGTTTTCTGTTGTGGAGGAAGTCACTTTCTCTTGTTTCCCCCAGTCCCCATGAAAAGTTCCTCTTCCCAGCCTCAGAAGGCAGTAATATCCCAATATTTGGTTAAGTCATTGTCAAACCTGTATCATTTTAACCAGGACATGTTGTTCATAGCCAGTTCTGTGTAGTGGGGCCAGATTTAATTTCCTCACTTGTACATGTTTTGTTTTTGCTTGTGTTTTTCCTTTTTTAGAGTTAACAATTGCTTCCTATGTTTATTTGCTTCTTTCTCTGTGTACCTGTCATTAAATCTTCTCCAAATCCTCTGACTAATTTATCCCCAAGCTCCACTCAAGAGGGTTGAACATGTCAGGTCATCTACCAGCTTCCTTTATTTGGTGGAAATGTCTCTCCAAGAGCTCCCTCTATTTGTGGGCTGATGTCTGCTGTCTATTCCCTTGGCTGCACAGGTGCATACATAGGTGTCATCCAGGGATGTCCTCTCACCATTGTCTTTGGATTTTCCTCCATCTCTCTCCTACCATGGGCTTCTTATTTCCTGAATGTGGTGTCCTTTCCTTTCTGGGTTTATGTCTTTATTTGGGTGGAGCACACCCTCTGGTAGCTTTCTGAAAATGGGTCCATGGGAGATAAATTTTTGAGCATAGCATAACTAAAAATGACCTTATTCTGCCCTTATTCTTGATTGATAATTTAGCTGGGTATAATTTTCTGGATTAGAAGAGTTATTCCTTAGAATATTTTGTTGAAGACATAGAATATTTCCAGAATTTCAAATGTTCCCTTGTGCTGTTTCTCAGTTAACCCACCTCCCCCAAGGAGTCACTACTCCACCTTCTTTCCCCATGGATTGTTTTTGACTGTTCTATCTACTCCTTATTTTATGGCTCCTTTTGCTCAACAGAATGTCTGTGATAAGACCCATGTGGCCACAGATTCAGTAGTTCATTCATTTTTTTTTGCTGTGCTACAAGTTGCTACATTAAACCTTGCTATGCATTATTGATTCATTCTCTTTCCCAATAATAAAGATTTAGATTATTTTCAGAATTTGGCTAATATTAATGATGCTGCTATAAAAATTCTTGTGCATTTTGTTTGGGTGGACATATTTGCCAATCTTTCTTCAGTGTGCACCCACAAGTGGAATTTCTGGATCGAATGATAGGCACATGGGCAGTTTAGCTTATGTTTTGTCCAACGGTTTTCTAAAGATATTTACATTCCCACTGGCCAATCTTATGACTTGTAGTCACTCTATGTCCTTTATAAAATGAGGTATTGTCAGTCTTTTAAAATTTTACCCATTTTGGAAATGGTGTAGTGATACCACACCATTGCATTAATTTACATTCCCTGATGACTAAAGCTGCTCACTGAATATTTGGATATCTTTTTTTTTTTTTAAGATTTTATTTATTTATTTGAGAGAGAGAATGAGATAGAGAGAGAGAGCATGAGAGGGGGGAGGGTCAGAGGGAGAAGCAGACTCCCCACTGAGCAGGGAGCCTGATGCGGGACTCGATCCAGGGACTCCAGGATCATGACCCGAGCCGAAGGCAGTTGCTTAACCAACTGAGCCACCCAGGCGCCCTGGATCTTTTCTTCTGAGGTGCATGTTCAAGTCATTTGCTTGGTTTTTTAAAAGTAAGATTATTTGTATTTCTCATTGACTTATAAAAATTTATTATATATCCCAATGTGAGTTAATTGTTGTATATATACAGTGGTGTGTGATAAATGTTTAATAACTGGCTCTTTATAAAACAAAACAAAAAAAGCTCTGATTTGTTCCATGAGCCAGTTCTTATGGTATAGTTACACCACAGCTCTCATTGTGATGTTCTGAACACAGAACTGGGAAGAACTGATACAAGTTCTTCAGCACTCCATTAGTATGAGTGTTACACACAACTCTTCCAAGTCAGGGACTTGTTTTTCTCATCCTCTTGATGGTGTCCTTTTTAAAAAGTCAACTTTATTAAAGTATGATTTACACACCCTAACATGTACCTATCTAAAGTTTCTATTTGCTTAGTTTTGGGAAAATATGTACCTGTGTGACCACTGCCACAAGCAAGATACAGAACTTCTCCATCATCCCGAAAATTTCCCATGTGTTCTTAATCCCACCCCGTTGGACCCTGGCCCCAGGAAACTACCGAATTCCTTCCCATCTAGGTCAGATTTGTGTTCTCTACAGTTTCACATAAATTAAATTATATAGTATGAACTCTCAGGGTTTGGTGTCTTCCCCGAGTGTATTGAGATATATAAATATGTATATGGTTGCCTTCTTTTTGTGCTGAGTAGTATTCCATTGTGTGTATATAACACAATTTGTTTATCCGCTCAGCTGTTGATGCACATACGGCTGGTATGAACATTCATGAACAATTCTTTGTGTGGACTTGTGTGGCTACTTCTCTTGGGTAAAAAGCCAGGAGTGGGATGTCTGGGCCACATGATTGGTGTGTGATTGAGAGACTGCCAAACCAGTTCCAAAGTGACCATACCCATTTACATTCCCTCTAGCAAATGTGTATGTTTCAGTTTCTCCACATCCTCGCTGGCACTCAGGGTAGTTAGACTTGCTAACTTGAGGCATCCTAATGGATGTGTTGTGATATTCATTGTGTCCTTTGATGAATAGTAATTTCTAATTTTAATGAAGTCCAGTGTAATGACTCTTTCTTTTTTTTTTTTTTTAAGACTTATTTATTTATGTTTGAGAGAGAGAGAGAGTGTGAGAGTGTGTGAGTGGGGGGAGGGGTAGAGGGATAGAAACTTCAAGCAGACTCCCCACTGAGCAAGGAGCCCAACATGGGGCTCAGTCCCACCACCCATGAGATCACGATCTGAGTCAAAACCAAGAGTTGGACACTGAACTGACTGAGCCACCCAGGTGCCCCTGACTCTTTCCTTTTATGTTTAGTGTTTTTGACATCTTTGCCTACCACACGTTGTGAAGATATTCTCCTGTGTATCCTTTTGGATCTCCACTATTTTACCTTCTGCATTAAGCTCTAATATTCTTGCCCTCCAAACATTAATTTTGTGCACACACGTGAGGTCTTCTCCAGGAGAGCCGCTCTGGGGTGTAGGATGTGCACCTTTTCAGCTTTTCTGGATGTACCAACTTGCTCTGAAACATGAAGACTCTCACCTGCAGCACAGAGCAGACCTTGTTTCTACCCTCCCGGACATGCTTGCTGTCATCAGACTCAAACATTTCTGCTAGGCTGATGGGTCTAGGAGTCCCCAGGATTTGGTGATTTGCTAGGGGACCTCCCAGGACTCAGCACACAGAGCAAAATCAGCCCCAGGCAAAGGTGCATGGGGAGAAGCCGGGGGATACTGGGCACACATTTCCAGAGCTCTGTCCATTCACACAGGCCATGCCTAACCCCAAAGCCGGGAGCTGTGACAACATGTAGGATGTGTCACCCCCAGGGAGCTTGTCAGAGGTCAGTACCTAGGGTTTTTATCAGGGCCGTGTTATGTGGGCACCCTCTGCCTGGCTTGTATGAAAATTCCAGATCCCCAGGAAGAGTGGGTATTTAGCACAAGCCATAGTATTTGTACAGTTTATGCCCAGTGAGGCCCTCCTATCATATGGGTGGAAACCCTCCCCAAATCCACATTCCCAGACACCACCCAAGGGCCCACCTTGTGAACAGGACTAAGGACAGCTGTCCCTGGCCTGTCGTGCTGGCTCTTAACTACACGGGCCTGTGGAGTCCATCCTTCTGGAGTGCGGGGGCTGGAGACAGTCCGGGTTCAGGGAAGTCACGTCTGAAGCGTGGCTCTTCCCCAGGCGCTGCCATCAGACTATTCAGCGTGTATGTCCTTGAATGTGTGTCCACATGCCAGACATACATGTCACTGGAGGCACCTCCTGGACTCTACTGAAGGGCAGGAACGTGGTGGCTGGGGGATAACCACAGACCGCCCTTACGTGGGGGGTGTCAGGGAGGGGTCTTTGTTGGAAACCACAGACATGAAATCTGGTTAAACCAATCAAAATATGAATTTATTGGAGGGATTGACAGCTCACAGAGTGAAGGGTGATGGAGAAACCAGTTCAGGTGTCAGTGCAGGGGCCAGGGCTACACCGGGTCCAGTGGCAATGACGAGACACAGCTCTGGAGGAGATATCTGATCTTCTCTCCCTTCACTGCACATATGGTTCAAAGGCTTGGGGGAGCCCAGCTGGCCTTGCTGGGGTCACTGCCAACCCGGGGGGGAGGCAGGGCATGTTGACTTGGGAAAAGTTAGTACTTGAGGAAAGTCAGTGGGACAAATGCACAGTGGGGAACGGGTGACCAGTGTCCACCGCAGGGCCCAGGGAAGGGGACTAGACACTTGTTTTGGTGCTTAATAAAAAATCCAGGCTGTGCAAATGAGCTCTTGAGCTTTGGAGTTCCCTTAAGAAGATCACTCAGCAGCAGGACTTCTGGGCCGAGGTGGGCACACAGCAGGCTTGGTGGGGGCCCACGGGTCGGCAGAGCAGGGACACACAGGAGGCCTGGCGGCAGCAGCTGGGCTGGCAGAAGGAGCTGGGCACGCAGCAGGCGGGGCTGCACACGGGCCAGCAGAGCAGGGACACGCAGGAGGAGGGTCTGCAGCAGGACGAGGAGCAGGGGCTGGGCCGGCAGCAGGAGGGGGCTGAGCAGGGGGAGGTCTCACAGCAGACAGGGGTGCAGCCGACGGGCTTGCAGCAGACAGGGGTGCAACAGATGGACGCACTGCAGCCTTCCTGGCAGGGGGAGGAGCTGCAGCAGGAGGGCTGGCAGCTAGACTGTTGGCAGCATGAGGTGGCCAAGCAGGGGGAGGCCTGGCAGCAGACAGGGGTGCAGCAGACGGGCTTGCAGCAGACAGGGGTGCAGCAGACGGGCTTGCAGCAGACAGGGGTGCAGCCGACGGGCTTGCAGCAGACGGACGCGCCGCAGGCCTCCTGGCAGGGGGAGGAGCTGCAGCAGGAGGGCCGGCAGGAGCTGGTGCAGGCTGATTGGCAGGGGCTGGACCCGCAGCTCACGGGGGTGCAGATGAGGGTCAGGCAGGAGGCCGGGGTGCAGCCGCTGGACTGGCAACAGCTGGGGGTGCAGCAGGGGGGCTCGCAGCAGCTCTCTTGGCAATTGTCCACCTGCCAGGAGGAGTCGGGGCAGGAGTCCCAGGACCCGGGCAGGCAGACGCGGCTGCCGTAGCTCAGATCGTTGGAGCAGACGGACAGGGTAGACGCGGCCATGGTGGGGGCGGTGGGGCTGGAGGAGGGTGCGCGTGTGAGTGGGAGTGTGTGAGTGTGAGTGTGAGTGTGAGGTGCTTGAGCTGTCTGTTGGCTTTTATATCAGGTGTGTGTGTTGTTCCAGCAGCAGACCCCGCTCCCCTCCCTTCCTTGTTGGTGTTTGGAGCCCAGGGGACTCATTAGCACCAGCTCTATGTTTGGGTCCATGAGACGTTTGCTTAGCTATAAAACTCCTAGTATATTTTGGGGTCTGTTGACTTATCCTAAGCTACCTCTGGTCCAGAACATACATTGAGCTAGAAGGTATGAGTCTGTAAATAGCATGTCCTGGGGCCGGACTGGCTGCATAAGAAATCCATCTATTCGAATCCTAACCGCCCCTTTGTGGACACCTGGGTGGGTCTTGTGCACAAGGGGGCCTCTGCTTGTCAGGGTGGCGCAGCTGCCGGAGAAAGAGAGGGTGTGGAGCCAGACATGTTCTGGTTGTGACTCCCTGGTCCTCTCTCTGGTGCGGCGAGTTCTCCTGAGGGCACGTGCAGGTGGCGAGCAGGTGAAGGTGGGACAATCAGGTGGCCACACTTTCCATGTCCTTGGGTGGCCATGTGGGCCACTTCTGCCTGACCACTCACTAAGCCCATGGATTCTGCATCTGTCCACGGCCTTCCTACACCCCAAACCCTGCAAACCTTGAGTACAAACTGGAGCGCCCTATTTTCTCCCCTACAGGAAGTGCAGCTCCCAAAAAGCCTCCATAGGAAAAACAATGGTTGCTTTTGTGTTTCCTGTTGATTTTCTTGATTTTTTTAAATATAATTTTATTTTATTATGTTATGTTAGTCACCATACAATACCTCATTAGTTTTGATATAGTGATCCATGATTCGTTGTTTGCGTGTAACACCCAATGCTCCATGCAGTACGTGCCCTCTTTAATACCCATCACCGGGCTAACCCATCCCCCCACCACCCTCCCCTCTAAAACCCTGTTTGTTTCTCAGAGTCCATAATCTCTCATGGTTCATCTCTCCATCCTATTTCCCTCCCTTCATTTTTCCCTTCCTTCTCTTAATGTCCTCCATGCTATTCCTTATGTTCCACAAATAAGTGAAACCATATGATAATTGACTTACTCTGCTTGACTTATTTCACTTAGCATAATCTCCTCCAGTCCCATCCACGTTGATGTAAAAGTTGGGTATTCATCTTTTCTGATGGCTGAGTAATATTCCATTGTACATATGGACCACATCTTCTTTATCCATTCATCTGTTGAAGGACATCTTGCTCCTTCCACAGTTTGGCTATTGTGGACATTGCTGCTATGAACATTGGGGTTCAGGTGCCCCTTCTTTTCACTACATCTGTGTCTTTGGGGTAAATACCCAGGAGTGCAATTGCTGGGTCATAGGGTAGCTCTATTTTTAATTTTTTGAGGAACTTCCACACTGTTTTCCAAAGTGGCTGTACCAACTTGCATTCCTTGGGTCAGCCCAGCCAGAAACCTAAAAGTCATCCCAAGTTATCCAAACCCCTTTCTTTCTTCTGCAAATAATATCCAAGTGGCCACCAAGTGGTTTTGCTTCCCTGAGCTAAATAAATTCCATCCTTTCTGGTCCTTTTACCTTCTAAGCATGAATTCATTCACTCTGGAGCCAATCCCCCCACGTGCTGGAAACGGTGGCAAGCTGGAGAATGCATGGGTGCATGGGTCATGGCCCCATGGAGGCCTGCTGGCCAGGGGAGGCAGGCACCTGGTGCCCCGTGGTGGCAGTGAAGAACAGGTTCAGCAACATTGGGCCCAGAGGAGTGGTGCCACACCCCAGTGGGAGGGCTCTGGGGGCGCTAGGCAGTGTGTGCTGCCCCTGCAGCGTTCATGGGCTCTGATTCTCACCCTTCCTGGACATTCCATTTCCAGCAGTGGTTCTCACCCCAGGCCTCTCACCTATGAGGATGTTCATGCTGGGGAAGAAAGGGGTTCTAGGAATTCAACTAAACTATGGCTGAGTTGTCTTTCTTTATGTCTTGGGTTATAAAACTGGTGTAGATCTGAGCCTGGCCCTCTGTGCTCAGCTTCTGGCCCTTCCGGAGATACAGGAACTGGTCTGTAAGCTGGAAGTGCGTGGCAGGGTAGGGCGAGGGCAATGTTTGCCGTCTATGATGCGGCAGCCTCTGCCAAGACGTATGTATGCCGACTGAGGATGGCTCGAAAAGCTGGATAAAATACAAAAATGTCTGTGCAAAGCTTCTGAAGGTTACTGATGAGCCTGAGCATTGAGGGCCAACATGTGGAGACGGGGCGACTTCAGAGAGGCGATCTGGCATCTCCGAGTGGCTTTTCATGAGGTGCAGTGGATGAATCTTGGTGAGGGGTGTGAGGGGAAGTAACCAGCTTGTAGAAAGGCCAGCAGAGGCAGCATGGACCCAAGGGGACAAGACCCTAGGGAGATGGCAGTCCCCGAGAAGAGCTCTAGAGCTGCAGGCAGAATCTCAACGCATTTGCCCAATTTTTATGCTATGCAGGAAAGATACTAAGAAAGCCAATGGAAAACCATTAAAACCCAAGCAGAGCTTCTGCAGCCTCATTGCCATGGGGACTCATAACCCCGACGACTGGCCAAGGAGGAGTGGCTCTCAGGTGGGACCCCTGGACAGCTCAGTCCCAGGAGTGGGGAAGCCAGACGTAGAGCAGCCTCATGTTGGCACGAGTCCTCTGCCCCACTCAGGCCGCCAGCCAGAGCGAGAGCTGAAACTCTTCAGAAGGAGGGAAATTCATCCATAGCTGCTAGAATTTTTCACAGACAATATCAAACATTCAATCAAGAATTACAGTCATGCTGAGAGACAAACAGATGATAGAAACAAGCCTGAGATGACAGTGTTGGAGTTAATCAGACACAGACTTTCAAGATAGTTGTGGTGAAAGTGTTCAGGGAAATAGGTGTGATGAGGGAGATCTTTATTGTAAAACTGAAACATAGACAAAGAAACCAGTAGAAATTCTAGACTGAAGAGAACACAGGACTGGCATTTATGAATTGACCGATGGATGTTTTGGTTGTGGGTGTGTGGCGGACAGGGGATGGACAACGGGAATGGAGCAATGGGATGGCGTCTTTAAGGGGCCAAAAGAAATGACTGCAGAACTGGAACAGAGCTCCCCAAGAATGCCATTTGGAGGTGAAGGTGCTACAAAACATCTCCAGACCAGCAGACACAGAGTGGATTCCACACCAGAAGATGAACTTTGAAGTCACTATCACGGGAAGCTTTTAGGTAGGATGGCTGGAGGGGAAAAGTGCAGGAAAATGGAGAACCTGCAAGGATAAACAACAGGACAAACAACAGGAAACTGGCCCACATTTCCATTCACAATGTTATAATATGTTGTATATTTACAGTTTCCCGTGGGCTCTACACTGTACTAGAGATGAACAGTGCAGCTCGAGCAGGGTGAGGAGCTGAGGTGTGCTGGGGTCTCAGGGTTGCTCCAGAAGCGGCCCATGCACCCGTGCCCATCAGACTTGACCATCCCAGGAAGGCGCACTGTAGCCTCTGGGCTGACCTCTGAGACAGTCACGAAACCACAGACAACGAGAAATGAATGGGAGAGGGGAGATAAATAACAAAAATACCCCAAAGCAGTCAGGAAATAGTTTGTAAAAGGAACATAAAACATTTGTGACAAATAGAAAACATACAATCAGATCTCAGATATAAACCCAATTATCAATAATGAAATTAAATGTAAAGTATTAAATATTTCAATTTACAAATAAAGATTGTGATTCTGCACAAAAATGGAAAACCTACATGCAAATTCTAAGAACTAGATCCTAAATATAAGGGCACAGGAAGTTTGGAAGCACAAAGATGGGAAAGATACAAACAAATGCACAGGACAATGTGAGATTCTATGCAGCTGCAACCAAGAAAGAGAAATCTTTATGTATTCATAGGAAAGGAGCTCCATGCTATATTAAGTTACAAAAAAACAGAGGGGGTAGAATATGATACAATTTGTATTTTAAAAATGTATACACACAAATACTTTATACACGTTCGTGTACCTGTATATAGAGAATAGATGATAGAGTCAATCTTCATTATTCATGAATTACTTGCTAAAATTTATTTGTAACCCCAAATCAATACTCACAATGTGTGCATGGTCATTTGCAGACATGTGCAGAGTACTCCAAATTTAAGACTCGGACACGCGTTTCCAGCTGAGGTGGAACGAGGCTCTGCCTCCTTGTGTCAGCTCCCAGACTGTGAGCCTGTCCTTTCCTGTCTCCTTCATGCTGTGTTTCGCACTTTATGTTGTGATTTTGCTGGTGAAAGTGGCCTCAGGCCTAGCGCTAAAGGTCTGGGGTTCTGAGCACAAGGGGGCTCATGTGCTTTGTGGAGGAAATCCACGTCAAATAAGTCTTGCTCAGTCATGACTTAAGGTGCTGTTGGCGGTGAGTCCACTGTTAAATAAGATGTATGTCAAGTATTTATTAAATAAGTCGCTTTAAACAGAAACACACATCAAGCCAGCAATGTATTGAGGGTTGCTGAAAATCTGACCAAAGCTTGCAGGGACCCAACCCCGTGTTTCTCTGGGAGTGATGGTTCAGTGTTCCCAGATTTGCTAATTCAGTGTTTTTGGTGACTTTCTAGAACCTAGCGACTGTGACTAATGAGAATGCCCCATGTGCGTGTGTGCACGTGTGTGTGCAGACAGAGAATAAGAAACAGAGAGACACAGAGACATGCACAGAGATAAAGGGGAGGGGGAGTGTAGCTGCTTCCTGGGAGGAGGATGGGGTGCTGGTAGGCAGGGCTGAGGGACACTCACTCTGCACGGCCACATTGCCGATCTTTCTGTTGTGTTCTGTGTCCGTGCGCTACCTAGTGACATGGTGGATCGTCTGGTGTCGTGCGGGGCATGCGATGAGGGAGTCATCCAGAAGAAAGGCTGGGGGAGACCGATGGGGGCTGTTCCGACAGATGAGGCTGCCCCAGAGGAAGATGAGGGCGGTGACCACCACTGATGTCCAGCCCAGGTACTCAGGTGGCTCACACATAACCACAGCCCCAGGCCGTGTCCTCGTCCCAAGGGGCCAGAGGCTTTGGATACAAAGCCCTGTGGTCTCCCAAGCACACAGACAGGTGGAAAGTGGACATAGGGACACAGCGTTTTGGTGATGAAAAATGCTCTAGAGCTCAGGCCAGGAGGTCCAGCCTGGCAGGTGGCCCTGGGAAGGCACTGACCACCCTTGGCTTCCGGGTTCTTCCTTCACAGGGGGCCACAGTCCTGCATCCCCAGGGGAAGAGGTGTTTGAACCACAGAGAAACTTCCAAATGCCCTCTGCCTGCCGAGTGAGCGACTGCCCTGGGGCAGCCCTAGCTGGTGGCTGGATGTCCATCCCACTCCTGCTCCCCTGGGACACATGGGACCGCTCCAGAGTCAGATGCTCCAGGAGGTTTATGAGCTGGACAACATCCAGGCAAATAAATATCACTAACATGGCCTGGGAGCCGGAACTAGAGGCTTGTGGGGACCTGGGACCCAAGAGTCAGGAGGATATAAAGGCTGTCAGCCTCGGGCACCTCACACACACTCACACTCACACACTCACACTCACACCCTCTTCCAGCCCCACCGCCCCCACCATGGCCGTGTCCACCCTGTCCGTCTGCTCCAGCAACCCGAGCTGCGGCAGCTGCGTCTGCCTGCCCGGCTCCTGGGACTCCTGCCCCGACTCCTCCTGGCAGGTGGACGACTGCCCAGAGAGCTGCTGCGAGCCCCCTTTTTGTGCCCCACCCTGCTGCACCCCCAGCTGTTGCCAGTCCAGCGGCTGCACCCCGGCCTCCTGCCTGACCCTCATCTGCACCCCCGTGAGCTGCGGGTCCAGCCCCTGCCAATCAGCCTGCACCAGCTCCTGCCGGCCCTCCTGCTGCAGCTCCTCCCCCTGCCAGGAGGCCTGCGGCGCGTCCGTCTGCTGCAAGCCCGTCTGCTGCACCCCTGCCTGCTGCAAGCCGCTCTGCTGCACCCCTGTCTGCTGCAAGCCCGTCTGCTGCACCCCTGTCTGCTGCAAGCCGCTCTGCTGCACCCCTGTCTGCTGCAAGCCCGTCTGCTGCACCCCTGCCTGCTGCAAGCCGCTCTGCTGCACCCCTGTCTGCTGCAAGCCCGTCTGCTGCACCCCTGTCTGCTGCAAGCCCATCTGCTGCACCCCTGCCTGCTGCAAGCCCGTCTGCTGCACCCCTGCCTGCTGCAAACCCGTCTCCTGCACCCCTGTCTGCTGCCAGGCCTCCCCCTGCTCGGCCTCCTCATGCTGCCAACAGTCTAGCTGCCAGCCCTCCTGCTGCAGCTCCTCCCCCTGCCAGGAAGCCTGTGGCGAGTCCGTCTGCTGCAAGCCCCTCTGCTGCACCCCTGTCTGCTGCGAGGCCTCCCCCTACTCACCCCCCTCCTGCTGCCGGCCCAGCCCCTGCTCCTCGTCCTGCTGCAGACCCTCCTCCTGCGTGTCCCTGCTCTGCCGGCCCGTGTGCAGGCCCGCCTGCTGCGTGCCCGCCTCCTCCTGCCACCCCAGCTGCTGCCGCCGGGCCTCCTGCGTGTCCCTGCTCTGCCGGCCCGTGGGCCCCCGCCAGGCCTGCTGTGTGCCCACCTCAGCCCAGAAGTCCTGCTGCTGACGGGGCACGTCCCCACCGGGGCCAGCTGGGCTCAGGACCCACCCAGTGACGGTGGTCCTCCCAGGCCCCCTCAGTCCAGTCCTGACCCCAGGACGGGGTCCCCCATGTGTCCACTCTCCTGACCTGACCTTGACCTCCTAGCTCCCAGGCATGCTGCCCCCGCCTCCCCCCGGGAGGTGCCTACACCCGTTCTGGTCCCCTGTCCTTCCCTCCCAGTTTCTCTGCTCGGGTCCCTTGGCCTCAACTGCCGACCTGTCAGCACCTCCTCGGGCTCCCCAATAAACTCACTTCGCCAACGGATCTGCTTCCTTTCATCGGACCCTCATGGGGGCGGGGGGATCCCAGGCTTTTGACCAGACACTGGTCTCCTCCCGCCGCGAACATTTGTAGGAATGCGGGACTGAGAAATCGCGCAGGGCAGGGGCTGGACTCCTCTGGGCAGGGCCCCGGGGTGGGAGTCACGCCCTCGCCCAGGACGGTCAGTGCTGCTGGGCCCTGAGTGCCCAGGGCTTCCCGAGGCTGGGCACCTGCACACGGGTCGTGGTCTGGGGGTTCTCAGCCCCTGGCCCGTTTCCACCCACTGCCCCAGCTGGGCAAACCGGCCCAGACAAGCGGGCCTGGGGGCTGCAGGCAGCACAGCCCCTATGGGCCTGGGGTCCCCCTGGGGTCCTCCCGGGTGCTCTACCCATTTCTCGGAAAGGTGGTGTCGTGGGGGAGGCACTGCTCCAAGCTCCTGAAGAACACAACTAGGTTTGAAACAAAATATGAAGGGTGGGTGGCAGGACCCCAGGATCCCGTCCTGGGCTGGACTCAGGGCCATCATCTGGTAGGTCTGGACTCCGCCTGGGAGCATGAGGGACTTGGAGTCCTGATGTGGGGCCTTCCCTGTGAACTGAGAACCCCGTCCAGCCTCCGTTGCTGTGGACAGTGGCCTGGTCCGGTGCCGGGATGCCAGTGACATCGTGTGAGGACACTTGTGGACAAAGGGGGGGGGGGACATCCAGCAAGAACTCCGTGCCAGGGCTCCAGAACTGTTGCCTGCAGTGGCCCAGTGGCCCTGCCCCAGGAAGGGCCAGACTGAGGTCAGCCCTCCCCTCCCAAGTCCTCCCCTCTGGGCCTGTGAGCCCCTCACTCTCCCCACAGCTGTGTCCACGCTAGAACCCACGAAGGGAGCCTGTGCGGTCCCCTGGCTCTCGGTCTCCTTTCCTGAAACGCCAGCCACCTCCCGGCCCACGCCACACTCCCCACCTGCTGCAAGTTCCTTGCCCACACCCTTTTCCCCCGACCAGTGTTTTACCTAATCCTTCCATTTAAAATCAGCTCTGTCCAGGTAGTGTACATATAATCAGACGCACCCTATTTCATTGTACCGTTTGATGAGTTTTGAGAAAGGTCTGCGTCTTGCAGCCTCCACTGGGGGCAAGAGATATCAGCTTCCCTCCTAGCAAGGTTTCTCTGCGTCCCGAGCCTCCACGCCCGCCTGCCGCCTGGGAGCAGCTGCTCCGCGGAGCTGCTGAAGTTGATCTTTTCTGGAGCATCCAAGGGAAGGAAGCGTACAACAGGCATGCTCAGTGTCCGGCTTCCTTCACTTGCCTCTTTGGTTGCATACGTTCATAGTTAATTCCTTTTAACTGCCAAGTAGTGTTTTATTGAGTGGATGGATCGCAGCTATTTATTCACCTGTTGAAGTCCATCTGGGGTGTCTCCAGGTTTTAATGGTTATGAAGGAAGCCCCTGTAAGCACTGTATTCTGCATCTTGTCCTCTCTCTGGTAAATACCTAGGCGTAGGCTTGCTGGGTCCTGTGCTACATGGGGTGAGCAGCGTGATATTTGCCCTTCCTGACGGCTACTGTGTGTGGGTGGGTCAGTTTCCTGTGTGCCTGTTCATGGTTGTCTGTCTTCCTCAGCGAAGCGTCTGCTCAGATCCTCTGCCCATTGTTCTGCAATCAGACTGTGTTCTTATTCGCTGTAAGTGTTCTTCACGTATTGCAGGTACCAGTCATTTATCATATGTGTACATTGCAAATTCCCCCACCTCTGCCTAGACTTCTTACTTTCTTTTTTTTTTTTTAAGATTTTATTTATTTATTTGACAGAGACACAGAGGGAGCAGGAACACAAGCAGGGGGAGTGAGAGAGGGAGAAGCAGGCTTCCCGCCGAGCAGGGAGCCCGATGTGGGGCTCGATCCCAGGACCCCGTGATCATGACCTGAGCCGAAGGCAGGTGCTTAACGACTGAGCCACCCAGGTGCCCCGACTTCTCACTTTCTTGACAGTACTTTTCAGTAGCTGACATCCTTAATTTTGATTAAAATCAAAATATTCCCTCTCTTCAGTGGTGCTAAGGAATTTTTGCCCAAACCCAGGGTCATGCTGGTTTTGTCCTATGTGTACTTCTAAATATTCTAGGGTTTTAACTGTCATACTAAGTTCTATAATCCCTTTCAAGTTAATTTTTGAATATGTTGTTGGTTGTTTCCAGCATCATTTGTTGAGAAGACTATCCTTTCTCCATTGACTGACCCTTGCCAAAAAATCTATTGACCGTGTATGTGGGGGCCTATTTCTGGACCCTGCTCTGTCCCGTCTTCAGCCTTTGTTCTTATACCCATAACACACTGTCTCCATCAACGCAGCTTTAAATGAAGTCTTGAAATCCAGCAGTTAGTCATCCAATTACGTTTTTCTTTTTCAAAATTGGTTAGCTATTCTAGATCCTTTACATTTCTATTGATTTTAGAATATATTTTAGAATCAGCTCATCGCCTTCTAAAGAATAACTTGCTGGGATTTTTATTGGAATTGCGTTAAACTTGTAGGTAAATTTGGAAAGAATCGACATTTTAACAATATGGAATCTTTCAATTCATAAACATAATATCTATTTCTAGTCATTTAGGGTAACTTTTTTAATGCAATACTTTATCATTTTTAGTACATCAACATTGTACATATATTAAGTTTCTCTATTATTTTATTTTTCAGTGTTTTAGTTAATGGTGTGTTTATTTCATTTCCAAGTACTCATTGCTACCATGTAGAAATTTAATCAGTTTTTGTGTGTTGACCTTGTATCCTGTGACCTTGCTAACTGCACTTAGGAATTTTAATAGCATTTTTATATATTCCTTAGGATTGGACATGCATTTTCTCTGTGGGAAGGATCTTAACTATAATTCAGTTACTTCAGTTGATAGAGGGCAATTTTGGTTTTCTATTTCTTCTTGTATGAGTTTTTATATGTATATCTTTCCAGTTATTTGTCCATTTCACCTAAGTTGTTGAATGTGTCAGCACCAAGAGTTGCCTTCTTCTTTTATTCTTTTAATGTCTGTAGAATCTGGGGCTATAGCCCTTTCTTTATTCCTGATATTGTTTATTTATTTCCTTTTCTTTTCTTTTTCTTGACTGGTCAAGGTAGAAATTTATTAATTTTGGTGATCTTTAAAAATTAGACTTGGTTTTATTAATTTTCTCTTGTTTGTCCATTTTCTATTTGGTAGATTTCTACACTTCTCGATTATTTCCTTCCCTCTACCTATTTTGGATTCAACTTGTGCTTATTTTTTGTAGCTTCTAAAGGTAGAAACTTAGATAATTGATGGATTCCTTCTTTTCTAATGTAAATTATTAAAGCTATACATTTCCCCCTATATGCTGTGTTAGTTGCATTCTATAAAGTTTATTTTTATTTTATTAAAAATACTTCCAGTTTTCCATTGTGATTCCTTCTTTGACTCATGGATTATTTTGAAGTGTGTTATTTAATATCCAAATATTTTTTGGTTTTCCAGCTATCTTTCTGTTCATGACTTCTGATTTTGTTGTGGTCAAACAACATTCTCTGTATGATTCCAGTTATTTGTCCTATTAAATATATTAAGACTATTAAATATATTAAGACTGGTTTTATGGCCCAGCATATGATTTTTTTTTGGTGAATGTTCTATGTACATTTGAAAAAAAAAATGAATTCGAGTTCACTGTTGTTGGATGCAATATTGTATACATATCAATAAGGTCAGGTTAGTTTATAGTGTTTCTCAAGTTTTCTATATACTTCTCAATTTCATCAAATTTGGAAACATTTGGCCATTGTCTCTTTAAATATTTTTCTGTCTCCCCTCACCCCTGACCTTTTTTCCTCAGGGACTCCAATTATATTTATGTTAGACCATATAATATTGTTGCTCAGATCACTGACGCTCTGTTAATTTAAATTATTTTTCTTACTGTCTTTCAGTTTGGGTAATTTCTATGATTATGTCTCCTAGGTCATCTGCAGTCTTTATTCTACTTTTAAATTCATCCTTTAAATTTTTTATTGTTAATGTTATGTTTTTTACCTCTTGCAGTTCCATTTAGTTCTCCTTTGTATCTTACATTTCTCTCTTCTTTGTGTTCATGTCTTCCTTGAAATCCTTGAACATATTTATCATCGTTGTTTTAACTATCTTGTCTGCTAATTCCAGCAACTGTCATTTCTGAGTTTGTTTGTATAATCTGTTTTGCCTCTTGATTATGGGTTAGGTTTTTTTTCCCTCTTAATGTATCTAGTAATTTGGGGGCATCTGGGTGGCTCAGTTAGTTGAGCATCCAACTCTTGCTTTTGGCTCAGGTCCTGATCTCAGGGTCGTGGGATGGAGCCCTCTGTTGGGCTTCACACTTAGTGCAGAGTCTGCCCGAGATTCTCTCTCTCCCTCTCCCTCCCCCTCTGCCCTGCCCCCATTTGTGTGCACGCATGTGTGCACATGCTCTCTCTCTCAAATAAATAAATAAAATCATTAAAAATGTGTCTAGTAATTTTTTATTGGATGCTGGGTTTCAATAAAATAATAGTGTAATACTGTTGAATATTGTACTTTGTTTCCTTCCTTTAAAGAGTGCTGGGCTTTGTTCTGTCTGGCACTTACCACCTATGGATTGGCTTGATAACTGTGATGCTTCTGTGCTTGTTTTTATGTTTTGTTATGGCAGATTGAGAGAAGCCCTTACTCTC